CCATGGATGGGCTCGTGTTCCAAGAGATTACCCAAACGAGAATTGGACTCCTCTCGGGTCGGGTGCGAAATCATAGTGTTGTTCATTTCGGTCGCAGAGCCGGGCATTAATGAAACGCATAGCGGATTGAAAGTCCAGGTCTGGCCGTCAACTGTGACTCTGAGGTCTTCGTCGGCGTAAACCTTCACAATTTTGCCCATTTTGCCGATCGCACCGGACATGTGGTCGTTCCACTCTCCGTGACATTTCTGCAGTTCTTTCACTTTATTAATATCGTCACAAATCTTAACGATATCTCCGTATGAATAGGAGATCACTTTATTCAAAGCGTTCGGATTGAATGTCCACCGATTGTGACAGTCTTCGAACTGGACTCGAATGTCTCCCTTGTCGGTCACTCTATGAACAGTTCCGACTTGACCTATGAATTCGGCCATTCGTTGATTCCAACCTCCGTGTCCTTCTTGTAGTGATTTCAGTTCATTCACGTCTTCGATAATGACCTTCACTTTGTCGCCGACGTTGAACAGAGCGGTCGTTGTGTTTCTCTGGCCGTCCACTGTTGACAAAGACCTGGCGATCGCTATACGATTGAAGCCTTCGATTGGTTGTCCCAATACAGGCAAATGGTTATCACTTTGTCGCCGACGTTGAACAGAGCGGTCGTTGCGTTTCTCTGGCCGTCCACTGTTGACAAAGACCTGGCGATCGCTATACGATTGAAGCCTTCGATTGGTTGTCCCAATACAGGCAAATGGTTTCGATAATAGAAAGGTCCGGCGGAGTCCACCACATACTTCAGATCCACTTTCCCTTTGTGGCCAACTCTGTACACATTAGTAGAGCCCGACGCCCACATCACGTTCGCCACACTTCTTCGCGACTCGTTATCCCAACCCCTGATGTCTATCACTTTACCCACTTTTCCTTCGCCTCCTGACAAATCAAATGTCATTAATTAGTGTATAATAATTGCCAAAACTGTTAGTCCAAAGAGTCATACCGTCCTGATTAGCCCAATCCCAGTCATAACCTCTGACGACACGCGTCCCGACAAATATACCCCGCGATTGGATCTTAACGTTATTTTTTGAGTTTCTTTTACTCATTTCGACTCTAATTATACAAAACAAAAAATTAATTAAAACATTGAAACGAGTGTTAAATGTATGGTTTGAGACAAACCCGGGAGAGGTATAGGTTTCAAAGCGAGCGAACGTATGGTTCACATCGTGTTTGTCATTCATATAGCAAAGAGTGCAGAGATCGACGCTCTGACAGACCAAACACTTCCACCGGATGCCAGCGATGCCGTGCTTTTTACAGGCGTTGC